GTATAGGCTGCCTGCCGACCCCCACCCCCGCGCTAAAATGGCCATAACTCAGCCAATTTTGACCCTAGAGGTATGATTTTTGTTGCAAACGGTAGTTTGACATGTCTTCTATCTCTTTCAGGCGAAAACACAAAATCGCATTTTTTGAAAACTTTGGAGAAAATCGATTTTGAAGTTGTACCCTCACTTTCAAGTGGAAACTGGCTTATGTTTTGGTTTTGGGAAAAAGTCTGAGACCAAAAGCACTGCAACTGGCACAGTTTTCACGGTAGGAACTTGAAATTTGCAACATTACAACTTCAGATGGGTCCGGACCCGCAGTGCAAATTCCAGCTTTCCATCTCTGATAGTTTCCGAACGGCAGCCTGTCAAAGATGTGGTCTTCACCTGGACCGCTGCCACTGGATTGTATAGAGACTGTATAGGCTGCCTGCCGACCCCCACCCCCGCGCTAAAATGGCCATAACTCAGCCAATTTTGACCCTAGAGGTATGATTTTTGTTGCAAACGATAGTTTAACATGTCTTCTATCTCTTTCAGGCAAAAACACAAATTCGCATTTTTTGAAAACTTTGGAGAAAATCGATTTTGAAGTTGTACCCTCACTTTCAAGTGGAAACTGGCTTATGTTTTGGTTTGGGGAAAAAGTCTGAGACCAAAAGCGCTGCAACTGGCAAAGTTTTCACGGTAGGAACTTGAAATTTGCAACATTACAACTTCAGATGGGTCCGGACCTGCAGTGCAAATTTCAGCTTTCCATCTCTGATAGTTTTCGAACGGCAGCCTGTCAAAGATTTGGTCTTCACCTGGACCGCTGCCACTGGATTGTATAGAGACTGTATAGGCTGCCTGCCGACCCCCACCCCCTCGCTAAAATGGCCATAACTCAGCCAATTTTGACCCTAGAGGTATGATTTTTGTTGCAAACGGTAGTTTAACATGTCTTCTATCTCTTTCAGGCGAAAACACAAATTCGCATTTTTTGAAAACTTTGGAGAAAATCGATTTTGAAGTTGTACCCTCACTTTCAAGTGGAAACTGGCTTATGTTTTGTTTTGGGAAAAAGTCTGAGACCAAAAGCACTGCAACTGGCACAGTTTTCACGGTAGGAACTTGAAATTTGCAACATTACAACTTCAGATGGGTCCGGACCTGCAGTGCAAAATTCAGCTTTTCATCTCTGATGGTTTTCGAACGGCAGCCTGTCAAAGATTTGGTCTTCATCTGGACCGCTGCCACTAGATTGTATAGAGACTGTATAGGCTGTCTGCCAACCCCCACCCCCGCGCTAAAATGGCCATAACTCAGCCAATTTTGACCCTAGAGGTATGATTTTTGTTGCAAACGATAGTTTAACATGTCTTCTATCTCTTTCAGGCGAAAACACAAATTCGCATTTTTTGAAAACTTTGGAGAAAATCGATTTTGAAGTTGTACCCTCACATTCAAGTGGAAACTGGCTTATGTTTTGGTTTGGGAAAAAGTCTGAGACCAAAAGCGCTGCAACTGGCACAGTTTTCACGGTAGGAACTTGAAATTTGCAACATTACAACTTCAGATGGGTCCGGACCTGCAGTGCAAATTTCAGCTTTCCATCTCTGATAGTTTTCGAACGGCAGCCTTTCAAAGATTTGGTCTTCACCTGGACCGCTGCCACTAGATTGTATAGAGACTGTATAGGCTGCCTGCCGACCCCCACCCCCGCGCTAAAATGGCCATAACTCAGCCAATTTTGACCCTAGAGGTATGATTTTTGTTGCAAATTTCAAGTTTCCAGCTCTGATAGCCTTGGAACGAGAGCCTGTCAAAGTTTTGGTCTTCACCCCATTGAAAATACAGTGCAGAAAAACGCTATAGGCAGACCGCCGACACCACCCCTGAACTAAAATGGCCATAACTCGGCCAATTTTTGGAGGTATAATTTTTGTTTGTAATGAAAGCTTATCATTTCCTCCATGTACTTCAGTAGAAAACAGAAATTCGACACTTTTTTCAAACTTTGGAGAAAATCGACTTTGAAGTTGTACCCTTGAATTCAAGAGGAAAATGGCTTATATTTTGGTTTGGGAAAAAAGTCTGAGACTAAAAGTGCTGTAACTGGCAGAGTTTTCAAGATAGGAAGCTGAAATTTGGAACACAACCACTACAGATGGGTGTGTACCTTCAGTGCAAATTTCAACTTTCCAGCTCTGAAAGCCTTGGAACGAGAGCCTGTCAAAGTTTTGGTCTTCACCCCATTAAAAATACAGTGCAGAGAAACGCTATAGGCAGACCGCCGACACCACCCCTGAACTAAAATGGCTATAACTCGGCCAATTTTGACCCGAGAGGTACAATTTTTGTTTGTAATGAAAGCTTATCATTTCCTCCATGTATTTCAGTAGAAAACAGAAATTCGACACTTTTTCAAACTTTGGGGAAAATCGACTTTGAAGTTGTACCCTTGATTTCAAGAGGAAAATGGCTTATATTTTGGTTTGGGAAAAAAGTCTGAGACTAAAAGTGCTGTAACTGGCAGAGTTTTCAAGATAGGAAGCTGACATTTGGAACACAACAACTTCAGATGGGTGTGTACCTTCAGTGCAAATTTCAGGTTTACATTTCTGATACTTTTCGAACGGCAGCCTGTTAAAAGTTTGGCCTTCACCCCAGCCAGTACGATAAGACTCTATATGCGGACTGCCGACCTCCACCCCCTCGCTAAAATGGTCATAACTTCGCCAATTTTGACCCAAGAGGTTTAATTTTTGTTGCAAACGAAAGTTTAACATGTCTTCTATCTATTTCAGTCGAAAACAAAATTCGTTTTTTTGAAATCTTTCGGGAAAATCGACGTTGAAGTTGCACCCGAATTTTCAAGAGGGAAATTTGCTTATATTTTGGTTCGGGAAAAAATCTGAAACTCAAAGTGCTGTAACAGGCAGAGTTTTCACGATAGGGAATTGAAATTTGCAACATAACAACTTCCAATACGGGTGTACCTTCATTGAAAATTTCATCTTTCCATCTCTGATAGTCTTCGAGCGGCAGCCTGTCAAAGTTTTGGCCTTCACCCATTGAAAATGCAGTGCAGAAAGACGCTATAGGCAGACTGCCGACCCCACCCCTGAACTAAAATGGCCACAACTCCCCCAATTTTGACGCTAGAGGAATAATTTTTGTTGAAAACGAGAGTTTAACATGCCTCCTATCTATTTCATTCGAAAGCAGAAATTTCGCCCCCAGAGGTATAATTTTTGTTGCAAACGAAAGTTTAACATGTCTTCTATCTATTTCAGTCGATAACAGAAATTCTGATTTTGGAAAAAGTTTCGAGAAAATCGACTTTGAAGTTTCACCCGAATTTTCAAGAGGAAAATGGCATATTTTTTGTTTTGGGGAAAAAATCTGAGACTAAAAGTGCTGCAGCACGCAGAGTTTTCAAGATAGGAAGCTGAAATTTGGAACACAACAACTTCAGTGCAAATTTCAGCGTTACATCTCTGATATCAATTTCATCTCGCGTCACCTTTGCACAATCTTACGGTGGGCACTCGTAAGTGTAAATTTCACTGCAAGATTGTAATAAAGGAACAAACTCAAACCAAAAATTATACCATATCCAAATGATTTTATTGATTAGATTATGGCTGGTGTCGTAATTATTACAAAGCTTTTTGGCTAATCCATATAATCTTAATCCTGTACAACAAATTATAAAATAGATTATAAGCCGATATTCGTAAATGCCATCTTAAATTTGTTGTCAAGAGCATAGAGATTTCAAAGTTATTTATACGTCAATAATACACAGTTGATTAGATGATCGTTTCAAAGCCATCTAATAAATTCCAAGCCATTTGCCAATAAAACTCATATCATTTGACAGTGCAAGTTTAATGTGGTACTTAATTTGACCTATGGACTGGCTATAGGAAGTACTTTTAGAGTTATAAATAAATACATTGCAGGTATGTCTTCGTATTATTTACCAAATCAGCAGTAGTTTTCAAGGGCAATAACTCAAAATTTGTTCATCGAAAAATCATCAAATTCGAACGTGACTGCAATCTTACCAATTCCGATGCTTACACCAAGTTTCATCAAAATCAGATGAAAACTGCATTCACAAGAAATGTTGACGGACGGACCAGACCGACGGACAGGTGCAACGACAATTATATATATCATGTGGACTTTCAAAAATTGTTCCAATTGGACAATGACATTACGATGCAAAATAAAACTTGAGTTGTATTTTGTGGGGTTGATTTTAGTAATTTTTTTCGATTTTTGTATTTTATGGTATTTAAATTTATTCAAAGTTAAGATTTTTGTAAGTTGGTATTTATTTTATTCTTAAAAAGTGTAATCGTATTCGTCATTTGTGAATAATTTTGATAATTGACATTTTTCACGTAAACAATGTTCTATATTCTTAATGGAACAAGCAGATCACGAGGGGCGATGAATATTGTTATTATTATATTATTAAAATTTGATTATTTTTTTCTTTAGATTTCAGAATAAAGAGATTTAAAGTAATTTGAAATACAAGATAGTATTACTTCTATCAAATCAGCAAAACCTCATCTGACTTTTTAAACAAACAATCTTGCTCTCAAAAAAGGATCGTGCTTTAAGTACAAGGAACTTTCATAACTGAAGATTCAATCGTGCTTTCAGTAAAATGAACTTTCATAGCAGATGACTGAATCAAGCTTTCAGTAAAGGAACTTTCACAACACATGACTGAATCGTGCTTTCATTAAAGGAACTTACATGACACAGGACTGAATAGTGCTTTCAGTAAAAGGAACCGACAGATATTGAAGATTATTATGAATTATACATATCTTAAATCCCTCACTTTACTGGCGATATGTAGTTTTACATTCACTTTGATGTGGAGCTGGAAAGCGGAACCACAAACAATGTTGATTACGCCGCCATCTCCTCAAAGATATGTTAACACCGAAGGTTGTGTTATTCCTTTCTATGACCCTTTCGATGCTTCAGTGATGCCATTTCACAGCAAACCGCGTCGATTAGGGTGTGATTCGAAAACACCACTAACATACCAAAATGGACTTTTGTTAAAACTCGACAATCGTTCTGTTTCATATTGTACTTTTAATACAATCATCCGGGGAGAAAATGACGACAATAAATTTTCATTTGTTGGCTCCACAAACTTTACCCAGAGCTTCAATGTGACATCTGAATTCATTCGAGTTAAATGCTTTGACAAAACTGGTTCTCATTTGTATTCAAACTTACATGCTTTCACTCCAAGAAACTTAACTCGCGAAAAACATCTCCATAAATTAATGGAAAATCATAAGCATGAAAATAAACCGGCTGAAATTTTGAACGTCTTGATGATAGGAATCGATTCATTATCACGATTAAATCACATCCGATCGATGCCAAAAACTCGTCATTTTTTACTTCGAAATCTGTCAGCCGTTGATTTGCAGGGTTACAATAAGGTAGCAAAAAATACGTATGTTAATATGACGCCATTATTGACTGGAAATTTTGTTGCAGTGGAAAACGAGAAGCGAGGAATAACTAACGAAAAGGGACCATTTGATAAGTACCACTTAATTTGGAAAAACTTTTCATCTCATGGTTACACCACAATGATGTCTGAAGATGCCCCAAATATAGCTACATTTAATTACCAAAAGAAAGGTTTCGCTAAGCCACCCACCCATCACTATCTAAGACCATTTTCACTATCGATAGATAAAGTAAGTGGGGTGTCTTGGAAATCAAGTCGTTGTGTTTCGAACCGATCTGAAACTAAACTTGTGTTGGATTACGCCAAGGATTTTGTTAAAACATACAAAGATTTGCCCTACTTTGCTTGGAGCTTCATTTCAAGAATGACACATGATGACCCTAAGAACGCAGCTTATATTGATGATGATTATTTTGAATTTTTAAAAGATGTTCAAAAAGAAGGATTGTTAAATAATACCATATTATTTTTTATCTCTGACCATGGTGTAAGGTATGGTGACATTTTAAAAACGGAAATTGGTCAGAAGGAATTGCGCATGCCGTTAATGAATATTGTTTTTCCGACTTGGTTTCGAAGAAAATATCCCGCAGTCTATGGAAATGTCGTTCAGAACGCAAATAAATTGACAAGTCCTTTTGATATTCACGAAACGTTGAAAGACATTCTATATTTCTCCGGAACACCAAGAAAAGTGGTAAACACCGACAAAGCAGGAATAAGTCTTTTTGATCCGATACCAGGGTCCCGTACCTGTAGCCAGGCCTCAATAGTACCACACTATTGTGTTTGTGAGTCTGAAGAAATACCAATTGATGATCAGCTCAGCAACAAGAGTATAACATTTCTAGTGGAACAAATAAATCTAAAGATAAGTAAACATTCAATGTGTGCAAAAAGAATATTAAAATCAGTTCGGTATGTGAAAGGATATCGTAGTTTAGGCCATGCCGCTATAACTTTAATAAAATCATATATTATACTAACACCAGACAATGCTGAGTATGAAGCCACAGTGGAACATGATATCAGAAAACCAGGCTTCCGATTGGGTGGTGCTATCAGCAGAGCAAATAGATATGGCAACACAGCCGACTGTATCAATATATCAAACTTGAGACCATTTTGCTACTGTGGCATAAGTTTCCACTTAACAAAATCTCAGACCTCACAGGTTTATGTCAGTACATCATCGAAACCTCATAATACAACATCAGATCCTCTCACCACCTCGAAACCCCGTGATATAACCTCAGTTCTTCCCACCACATTGGAACCTCATAATATAACCTCAGTTCCTCCCATCACACATAAACTTCTTAATATAACCTCAGTTCCTCGCACAACAATTCAACCTCATAATATAACATCAGATCCTCTCACCACCTCGAAACCCCGTGATATAACCTCAGTTCTTCCCACCACGCTTGAACCTCATAATATAACCTCAGTTCCTCCCATCACACATAAATTTCTTAATATAACCTCAATTCCTCGCACAACAATTCAACCTCATAATATAACCTCAGTGCCCCACACCACCTCGAAGCCTCGTGATATAACCTCAGTTCCCCTCACCACACTTGAACCTCATACTATAACCTCAGTTCCTCCCACCACACATAAACTTCTTAATATAACCTCAGTTCCTCGGACAACAGTTCAACCTCATAATATAACCTCAGTTCCCCACAACACCTCGAAGCCTCGTGATATAACCTCAGTCCCCCCACCACACTTGAACCTCATACTATAACCTCAGTTCCTCCCATCACACATAAACTTCTTAATATAACCTCAGTTCGTCGCACAACAATTCAACCTCATAATATAAC